TCGTACTTTCGGCTTTTCAACCAGGTAAGAGCAATATTCATTCAACCGAAAGAAGGCCAAAGAAAAAGTGTTGAGCTTGACAATTAATAAAATTGAGTATTGTTTATCCTTCTTACAGTGTAATTTTCCATTCTTTGCAGTCATTTATAGTTTTTGCAACAACCGATGAGGGTGTAGTGTTGGATTGTATTTTTTTTTTCGGCTAACAAAAGCAGTTTGGCTCCTCGCCATTGCATTCTAAACTGAGTTAGCCTCTAAAAGTAATGTTTTAAATTAATGAAACTATTTTTCGTCGTAGGTCTTGCCATCATCTACTCAGGCAGCCAGTATTCCGACTAAGAATCCTTTTCTGGTATATTAACGTGCTTATTGACTATTTGTTGGTTATTATATATTTAATTTTGTGTGTGTGTGTGTGTGTGTGTGTGTTGTATGACATTTTTTTCGGCCATACCTTTGCGGAATGATAACAGAATTTGTGCATGGCAGTTACGGCAAAGAACTTCATAGAGTGTTCATCTTGAATCATAAACTTATTTTCTGAGTTGACTGATTGCAACTCGTTTTAATTTTTTCTATCCTTTCCTTTCCTTTTTTTTTTGTATCTCACCAAGCTAGCCGGTTTCCTTCAAGGTCAAGGCAATTTTGAACGTCTCAAAAAAAGAGGCAGATATTGTGTCGTTTTTTCTTTTCTTTTCATTCTTGGTGAATCGTGGGTTTCTTTCTTCCTCTATTTCTTCTGGATCGATTTTTAAAAGAACTAAAGGAAAAGTGTACTACAAAGTATTATTTAGTTTTCACCTTCAGTCGTTGTCGCAAACGTCATGCATAACAACAATTCTGATTGTTCTCTCTATGGACTTACTTCAGGTGATTCTCAAAGGATCATGTTTACCCAATCCTGCACCTGAGAACAGGTTTGTTGAACCGGATACGGGCGGACAGTACCTTCATGTCTTTACATATTTTATGAAAGACAGTCATCGCACTCACACGGTTTACACTCAGCATTCGCGAAAAATCATGAACTCTTTGTTACCTTCTCTTAACGTTCGCCATCACGAACTTGAGTGTCGTAAGACCTAACTAAGGTATTTGCAGCGGCTACTCCGAGCAAAGAAATTGTTATCAGGGAGCTTCTGAGATCTTAAAGTGAAAGCAAGCAAAATGCCTGCCAAATTGTCTGAACGGCGGGGAAGACGCGAAGGATCAAGTCTCGATTGGTGTTAATTTTACATCTGACTGGATAAGAAGGTGGCACGAGTGTGCTCGTCCAATCACAGGGCGTGATTGAAGAAAACCCCTTGCAATTTCCCTAATTGTCTACAATCAATGAAAGTTGCTACCATGCGAAAAGCACAATAGAAACTCTGAAACATAGAAAAGCATGGGGACATTCTGCCAAGTATTTAGACTTGAAAATGTACTTAACAAACTTTTTTAAAATGTTTGAATTCTAAGAATCTTGTTAATGCTTTCGTTCCATTGAATTGTATTATTTTTCACTGTAGGGAATTTCGTCAATTCGCCGTGGAGATCATTCAAGAGAATTTCTTGTGCCTACCCCAGCAGCCTGCAAATCTAGCGACAGTAAGTTCCCTTTTTCAAATGTTGTTATTGATGAGTACTTGGTCGGTAACTTTTAAAATACATGATACCAAAGAATTGTTTGTAAACTCTTCGGTTTTTGTCTCCTCCTGTTTCAGACTCTGTCATTCTTGGAGCAGTTGTTTAGGAAAACACTCAGTTCTTCTGAGACGGCAAGGTACTAGCAACTGATTTGCAGACATTCTTCATTACATACGTATGATGCACGATCCTCGCAGTAGAGAGCGCTATTTATGCAATAGCGAAAATCAGACCTGAAAAAAATCAGGCCTGTACGGGATTCGAACCACTGACCTCTGCGATACTAGTGCAGCGCTCTACCAATTGAGCTAACAAGCCAACTGGGAGCAGGCCGTTAAGTTGATTCGTAATAAACCCGTGATGATAAATCAGATACAATGAATATATGAAGTTCATATATTTTGAACTGCGGTATTAGATACGTATGATGCACGATCCTCGCAGTAGAGAGCGCTATTTATGCAATAGCGAAAATCAGACCTGAAAAAAATCAGGCCTGTACGGGATTCGAACCACTGACCTCTGCGATACTAGTGCAGCGCTCTACCAATTGAGCTAACAAGCCAACTGGGAGCAGGCCGTTAAGTTGATTCGTAATAAACCCGTGATGATAAATCAGATACAATGAATATATGAAGTTCATATATTTTGAACTGCGGTT